ATTAAGCGCATTCTAACACGATAAACATAAAATAACTGTTTCAATGTAAACATAGGAATAGACAGTTTGTCAAGATGCTTAATAACAAATACAATTTCAAGGAATGAGCTTTCAAACCCATTCATGCCTCCCATGAATCATTATTGTTGTTGTTGGTTGTTGTTATTATTATTTATTATTATTATTATTATTATTATCATTTATTATTATTTTATTATTATTAATATTACTTATTATTGTATATGTATTATTTATTTTTTGCGGCAGGTGGAAAAAAGGCGAAGAGCGGGCACCGATTGCTCAACACGTTTGGATTACCTCTTGCTTTAGGCGACGCTCACTAAAGAATAAAACCACTGATGTTTTTCTTCTGACCTCAGGCGTGGGGGAATCCGCCGTTTCGCCATTATGCAGGCTGGGGCCTTTCCTGATGGGATGCCTCTTTCATTTGGAGGCGGTTAAACAAATGCAATAACGTAAATACATGTCGGCTTGGTAATTTTAAATATTTAAAGACGCGTGAGAGAAATGGTCAAAAAAACAAACTGTGTAAGTTTGAAAAATAAAAAATAAGAATGAAACTCTACGCGCGTATAATTCTTACAGCAGGACAACTTAGGAACATACTTTACCAAAAGTTAGGCAAAGAAAAACATTGCGAGCGGTTTTTTGAATAATTCTGTTGTTTTTATTGTGTATGGCTCATATTTCACCCGCAAATATTATACCGAAACGGCCTAAATTTTTTCAAAAAAAGGTGGTTAAACGACAATGAAAAGAATTATTAGGGGAAAACAAAATTTCATTTGAGAAAAAATGCTCTATTTCAATACTGATTGTGAGAGACGCCTGCTGAAAAAATCAGAATTTTTTTGTAACTTCAAAAAATTCAAAGTTAGCCAGTAAACATCGGGAACCTATGCCCACGCTGAGAACATATTTCAATCTATTCATTACAACAAATCTGGAAGAAAAAAATGGGTAGCCATTTTTGAAAAATATAAAAGATGTTCCTTGGGGATCATTTTAAGTATCCCCAAATTTTAAAAAATATTCTTCTCGAACTCGTAAAGCTTTGAGACTGGCCAGCACGTCGACCCCAGAGAATATTTCACTTTCGATAAAATTCTAGCGAAATACTTGGTAGTTTCGGCCTAGCGTTGTTCACGAGGATGGGCAGTATTGACGTCAGACGTTTTGAAAAAAAAAAAAAAACATAAAACAAACAAACAACAATTGTCGGGGTATCAGAGTGGCCCGAAAACATTGCGTTTCGGTCTGAGAGTCCAAATCCGCTTTCCCGAAAAACTTTCTCTATATTACCATAATAGTACTTTCAGTATATAGTGCGAATACGCGAGCAAGGTAAACCCAAGCCCTGTTGATGGCGAAAGCATTATCTGGACAAATCTCGAGTCGGGGCCACAAAAGAACCGCTCTTGCTTGCCTGCCTTCGCTTTCCCAGCCCGTCTCTCTTATCTTACGGTGCAGATGCTTCCGTGCCCTTCGCGGACGCGCCCCACGGTCTGGCGGGAGGGGGAGCATTGTATTTTAGCCAAGATTTTCACTTGTACGACACGCGCCTATTCAGCCGATTTGGCCCACCATTTTGATATGGCAGTTGGATTTAGGAAGCACTTCGCCATCGCGCTATAAGCCACATTTTTAAATTTCTTCCCACTACGTATTCCTAGAAAAAAAATGTGCCATAACCTAATTTTTCCATTTTTTTCTTTCAAAATGGCCCTTCGTAGCGGTAAATTTTATATTAAGAACAAATTCCTATGTTATCTTAGCTGCGGTGGAGAAATCGGATGCACTGTTGCAAGGACGATTATTATAACAGTAATGTTTGGCGTATTTTGTGCTACTACCGTAGTGGCGACAAATTGAATAGTTCAGTTACATTTAGCCTTAAATACTTAATGCGCCGGAGATATTCCTGCAGCAGATGCGAAAAACATAGCACTCGCGTTTTGTGAAGGGAGAGTAGTAAGCCATCGTCGAATACAGACGAACTATATTACGCATGCTTCGAGTGCTCTACATGCCAGCCGACTCTATGCGAAGCGAAGACAATAACACCCCTCACTCAACTTGGTGCACTACAGCACTAAGTGGATCAAGCTCTCCCTGCGAACCCTATATTGGTCAAAAATGTAAAAAGGGAGAGTTTTGGTTCCTCTTCTCGAAATTCAGCTCTCGATGTAAATGCAGCGGTACGGGGCATCGATACGTGCCGAGCAAGCGAATAATATCTTCTGCTTCTTTCCAGCGACTTATGGTTGGAACACACCAATCGACATAATCGAGAGATCGAGGAGGTTGTAACGCCAGAGAGCTACTATTTACGAGCTGCTACGTAGAGTGTTAATCGTTTGACGCTTACTATTTAATAATTTATAGTTATATAACTGATAGTACTTATATACTATATATCAAGTATATTATAATATATCAGTTAATTACACCTGTATTAAGTACTATATATACTAAATATATATTATATCATATATATGACAAATCCGGTGTGTTCCCTATCGTTGCGGTTGAGTTTATTAGCCTGCTACAAAATTCTGTTTTCCCTGTAATCAAAGCTAGTAGGTTATATTCCTTTTTCACTGAAAGCCATCATTTACAAAGGGGACTATTTAGATATAATACAACCAATTGCTCCTTAACCTGTAACCAGGAGAAAACGACGATGAGTTGTAAAGTCCTAAACTTTAGAACCGCTTCTCTGTTTTTAACCACCCCACTTTAACCTTTAATTACACTTAATTTTAAATATTTGTTTCAACCAAAATCCGCTCTTTCCCCCCACTGCAATTTCCCGTCTTAGCGGGGTTTCCCTTAGTTTTCAAAATTCTTCCCCTCCCTTTCCTCTCGACTTAAATTTAAATATTTTTCAACAATCGTCCCACTCATTCCCTCTAGCGGTCCTTAGTTTCAACCACGCGTAACCACTCTTAACCACGCGCTAAGGGTGGGAAGCACGACATATTCAGAATAAAGAAAATATATTTTCTCTACATACACACACACACACACACACACACACACACACACACACACACACATAAATAATATTTGTGAGGAATGCATGTGAGTAGGTAGGTTCGTCCCACATGCCCACACGTCGTGAAAACGCCTGTGACAACGGGTGAGCGAGCGCGGCGCAGTTCAAAAAAGACGCGCCCGCCGCCAAGGAAACTGTTGCCCGCGGTACCCGCTGAACAGCGCTAGGAAAATGACGTAAATCAGCTGGAGAGGGGGAGACGCCGCGGTACCCCTACATCGGAGGGCGCGTAGATAAATACGCGAACCCGCGTGCGGTAGCTCTTTCGTTCCCGTTCGCCGAGCCAGCATAACTTCGCCTTAGATATTGTCAGCCGCAGCAACGACTACGTTTTATTAGATAGTGTTGGACGTCGTATAGGCGCCCAGTCAGCCATCCGCGAAATTTGTTTTCGGGAAGTAATTCTTCGGACCACGGCGCCGGGAGTGAATTTACCCGTTATTAGGAAAGTAGTAAGAGCTGAGATGTAGAAAAGTGCAATCAGCCGCGAGCGAGACCTGCACGTTCGGAACTCGCACGAGTTATCCTGTGAGGTGCGAAATAAACATTCACGCGGGCGTAGTAAATGGCGCCGGATGTAGGCGACGTAGAAGACGGGGCGTAGAAGATCGGGCGTAGGAGGCAGAAGAGCTTCCATATTATTTTGTGTACCTCCAAACATTTTCAACAGATTTAAACAAAAGAAACAACAGATTTTTGAACACGAATTAAAGATCATTATTTTAGGATCTGTGATAACTCTTACTGAATTATTAATCAGTGGCGTAGTTAGTGGGACGGGGTGGGGGGTCAGCCCCGTGACACCATTTTATATTTGAAATTATATAATTTTAATGATTTATTTAAAAAAAATATTTTTTAAAACGTTCATTTGTTAATTGTTTTGTGCTTCGTTTTAAATTATTTATTTTAACTTTGTATTTCAATTATTCTGAATTGCATACAGTTTTTAATATATTTTAAATAAATGTCACGTGAAAATTTACTTATATTGTTATTAAATAATGTGTAAACTATTCCGTAATGTATATTTTTATATTACCTAACGTGTGTGTGTGTGGGGGGGGGCGTAATGCCATTTGTTTTGCCCTGGGCGACATCAACTGAAGCTACGCTGCTGTCATTAAACAGACAATGATACCAAGATCTAGAACCTTTTGGGCACAGAAAATTCAGGCAAAAAATTTGGTCACATGCTTAAGATAACCAAAACGCCTAAAGCACACTTATTTCATCTATAGATTAACTAAGAGACCTGATTTCATTTCTATAATAAAGTGTGTTTATCAGTGTAATCAGTAATATATTAGCAGTATTGGGAATACTGCTTTAAATGTTTCCATAACTGATAGTAAGGTTGCGTTTGGGGCTGCATTTAAAATTCCCGCAGAACATGACGCAACTGGTCTAAACGGATTAGGTTATGCATGGGTTTTTATTTGTTGGGGCGTAAGAGTCTTCACGATGAAATATATCACGTATATCACGGCATTTTGCGTCTTTCTCAGTTACGCTGCTAGATGTCGCATGATTGCGACCGTATCAAGCAGTGCTGGCGGCAAAGATGTTATAACTAGTAGTTATAACTAAATGTTATAGTAGTGTAGTTACAAAGTCTTGGCTGGCGGCCATACGACATTAGCGGAATGGCTGAGAAAGACACGAAATATCATGATCGTGAAGACTCTCTCACGCGCCAAAAATAAATATTTAAGTATATGGAAAGCGCACCCTTCACTTTACATCATGAAACACAGGTGCTCATAGGTTGGTTGAATAGTCGACGGGGATTCCCCCATCTAGCGCTCACGAAACGTTGTTACATAATGTTTGCCACTGCAGTGCACAAACTGCACCTGACGCGAGACGCATACACCAGTGTTCGGTCCAAATCGGTGACGTAATAATGTACTGGTAATTGGAGTAGACGTGGTGAGATTGTAGTATTGTCGTGACGATTGTCACCGTACTCCTTGTGATCCGATCCATTTAGAATATTATAAGCAACTAATTGTAATTGATGGTGCAATTGAACAAAAAAAAAGTTTAAAATTAGTAGTTTAAAAATTGGACAATTTCCTTGTTACTGCAACTTGTACTGTATCTGATTGATCTACAATATAGTCTATGTACATTACTTCAAGATTATCTGTAATATTGGCTGCAAAATGTCTGACAAAGTGGACGACGAACTAGTGAAAATATTTGAAGATGGCCTGCGTCTTAACAGTGATAAAGAAATTTCCAAATGCAGTGCAATTCCATCAAATTTGGCTGGGCTTGAATGCCCGTTCACTTGGAAGTTTGACTGTAAATGTGATGTTCCCGATATTGTGGATCGTATTGAGGGAAAGTTGGACGAAATGGATGATGATGATGAGGAGTTAATTCCGTGGAAATCTTTTGTGTTAAATCTGATCCTGTGTTATGAATATTCAAAGAATGGAGACCTGGGGGACGCAGAGGAAAAACAAAGTATTCTGGATGAAATTTTGGAGAAGTCTTTGGATGAAAGTGGATCTTCAGGTCCTGTCATAGGTTTAGGACTAAAGCACATCAGTTTGGCATGTAAATGCTTCTTGTTGCATGCATCCCAATTATACGATGAAGTTGACAATACTTTGACTGAAATTGTGCCCTTTGAAGATTTGAAAAACAAAGATAAAGCAAGCGTTATAAGCATGAAAGGAGCATGTTTTGCTGAATTTGGATATTCAGGCATTAGAGATTCAATTGAATTGTTCGAAAAGGCACTAGAAATAGACAATGAATGCGGGGAGTGGTATTTTTTGTTGGGCAGATCGTTGAGTCGGTTAAGAAGATTAGAGAAGAGAAGTGCAATACCTGATCAAAGAGAGTTGAAATCTCTGGAACGTGCAGTAGAGATTTCAAATTATGTTTCATTTATGGTATTACTCGCTCAGAGCTACCGCGAGACTGCACGAAATATCTTCATTGAAAAAAAGAAAGAATTAAGATCGTTTAAACCATTCTGCGATTCCCTCAATCAAAAATCTTTGGAACTATATAAGTAAGTATAGTCGAATAGATGTGTTGTGCATGAAATATTTGTAATAATAATAGTAATAATATGAAAAGTTTCCTTTGATTAATATTTTAAATTGAATTTAGGAATTTTTGCCTTCTATAGGGCAAGTCAGTTATGACAAAGATTGAGTTTAAAAAAAAAAATATTTCAATGTTTTGTGGGTGCTTAACTTCATTCAGTTACTAGAATAAACATTGATGGTGTAAACTGATCCAGCACTATAATTGCACTCAGACTGACTTGTCAACAGACAACCTTGTCGTACTGAGGGATACAGCTGAAAAGCTGATGCTGGAAAAATTACTCACTTAATCATGTGGCGTGGTCAGTAATGGCCTGTATGCCAATAATAATAATTATTATTATAATGTGGTAAGTTCACAGGTATTGGTCAATGAAGTGGATATGTGGCGTGTGGAACATGCTACTATTCTACTAAGATTATATTGTGAGGTTATTCTAATGAGTAAACTCTGATGAAGGAATTGTAGTTTATTTTAACATCAGTGAATGTGTTTATAATTATTTCACAATAGACCAAAACATGTGAACCCGGTATTTATATTAATGGTCACAAAGGTTACTACTGAGTAATTGTAGTATTGAATTGTTTGGTATTACAATGAACAAAAATTATGTATGTGCCCTTGAATGTATAGGGATTTTAAATTTTTAGAATTTTCTTTTTAATTTTATTTGTTCCTTTCTACTTTTAGGCAAGAGTAATGATTTCAGGTTAGCCTCATAGATTTGATTTTTTATGAATTTGAATGAATGATAAATAAAAGTACCAACAAAGTGAGGTTAGCAACATTTGAAAACTAGAAAATTTCTCTCCCATGTTATAGAAAATTTATTTGCATGACTAAACGAGCTACAGTATTGCTAACAAAATGCAACCCACACCCCCGGCACTAGATCTACCTCAACTAGCAAAAGAACAACTCAACAAAACTTCATCATAGTAAAGCTACATTTATGACCAGAAACAAAACTAAGAACAATGAAGCATTTGCTCAGTAGATCAGGGACACTGGATGGAAAACATGATTGAGCTGTGGGTTATTGACCCAAAAGTTGCAGTACATTACTTATTAGAGACAGTCTTTAAAATTATTCAGTACAAACATTAACTAATTCAATAAATGTCATTGTTAAAATAAGTATAATTTTTCTTGTTGATGATCAGTATAGTCTCTAATTGTTTAGAAGCAATTGTGCAGAATAAAATATATTTAAACTTGAGTGAGTGTGGTGGCACTTAAACTTGTAGATTTTTAATGGTTTAATGTCATCTGGCAATGTGTGGTAAAAAAATATACGTCTATATATGGATTTCTTGTAAGTGAGCTGTTGATACTGACACCTGATGAATGTGATTCCTATGTGTTGTTTATATATACAGTAGAACCCCTGTAATCAAATAATTGGGGGGGCAGAAATGTTCAGATTATTCGACGAAATCTAACTAACATATTACAAATACTTGTATAGGATTCTCAGCCAATTGCATATTAATTTTCAATGGTACAAGCAACAACGAATTTGAAAAATCATACTTGTAATACCTATGGGTTTTTTTTTTTGGCACAAACATTTGTGTCGAGCAAACAACTGTTATTCCATTTCTAGTGAACGAGGCAAATCTTTTACATTTAAAAGATAGAAAATAAGGCCTAAAATTGAATCCTGCAAACTGTCATACACAGTGCATAGAATTGGAAAGGGATAAGGTGGATAGATAAATTGGGATAAATAAGTGGATAGATTTGTTGATGTGTAACCAGTGCTGCAATTTGATCAAGGATTAATGGAATTTTTTTTCATAGCTCATTAAAGTGGGATAAATACTGTAAACTGGTGACTTGGGTGCAGAGTTTTAACATTGTATGTTATCTCCCTTGTTATTAAACATTATTGATAATAAGTTGTACCTGTAGAAAGACTTTTTTGGGTTTTTGTTCATGGAAACAGTTATTATAGTTCTTATTACAGTACAGAAAAATGAAGGAAAAGTCATACCCAAGTTCCCCCTTCAGTTGAGGTAACTTGGGTATGCCAATCTTTTACCCTGATGTTTCACCTTAGAAAACATAAGTTTCCAGCTCACCCCTCTGGCAATAGGAACAAATTAAAAATTAGTTTGCTTTTATTACAAACTAGAGGATTGTAACAGCAAAATTTCCCGTGAACAAAACCACACTAGGTGGTTTTCTAGAAAGTAACACTCGCACCATTCAAGAACAAATAAAATACTCTATAACCCTGCAATAAATAAAATATTTTAAAACACTATCTTCATGAATTGTGCAATACATAGTACATAAACAAAACACCAGTTCTATACAGACCGAGAATATCAAAATACCTAGTTGCTGTTCCATAATGCAACACATTAATAGCAAATGTCTAGTGGCAGGCAGACTTTCCCCTTGAGCCTTGCAGTAGTATGACAATTGATGTATTGAGTACGAGAATTCATTATTTGCAGAACGAGAATAGGTAGAATAACACCAAATATTTGACATAACCGAAATTGGGTACCTGGCATGTATGACCTTGGCGTGACAGCCTGTGAAAGGTCTCAGGCCTACCGGCGATGTCCCTGCCTCCCCAAGCCGTATTCCAGTCTTATCAACCTGAGAAGTGAATTTTCTCGTCACAGCAATGTATACTGTGACATTGCAAGGAAAATGCACACTATAGTCTTCGCTCGACTGGGAATCGAACCCGGGGCAGTGTAGTGGAAAGCGAACAAGCTGACGAAGAGCTAGCCACAAGCTGCCGGTACCTGGCATAGCTGTATCAATTTTTCTTCAGTGTTTGTCCAATTAATTTTACATGCAGTAATGGGTGATCATATTTAGTGCTTTTGCATAATCTGTTGTTATTATATTATTATTATTATTATTATTATTATTATTATTATTATTGATTTTATGATTTTTTTCAACGGTCCTGAGTTGAAAAAGATCACCCAATTCTAAGAAACTGAGAAAAGGGTACCCCAGATTCTACCATCCACCCCTCTGCACCTACTACTATGTGTTTTTTTAATGTTTATTTTGACATCTATTTAACACTACTTTATCTGATTGACTGATACCTGAAAAACATTTTGTGGTATTTTCTCAGTACCAAATTATAATACAAAACAATATTTTTGAAAAAGAAATAACAAATTAATTTTACTGTGTCTTGGAACTCTGGAACAGGCCTGAAAAAGTCTTTACTTTAAATACACTTTAAATATAACTGCAACAGTTCTGTACATTAATTTTATCATTATTAATACATTTATATACTTCGTTGTAGCACCCAGTAATATTTTGACCTTAGAATGTACAAATTATCATATTTTTCAAGCTTTATAGTAAAAATCAATAAGTATCAAAATGTTTCATTTTGGCATTTTGTGCATATACACTAAAACCCTTCAAATAATAAATGTCTATTAGAGTAAAATAGGAATTTTCCAAAACATCCATTTATAATTCACCTCAGTTCTTTCCAATTTTTGTTTATATTTACATTTGATTCATGTGTTTAGAATGGTAAAGTAAAAAACTTTTGTCATATCTTGGTCAAGTTTATTTACTTATTAATTGTTTAATTACTTTGATTTTGAATTGCAGGAGAGTGTTACGGCAAGACAAAATCAACGTTCATGTCCTTATAAGATGTGGTTTAGGATTCATGAAGTTGCCAATGCCATGGAAAGATCTTGACAATGCTAAAACCTGCATTCTAAATGCACTTGACATTGCCCCCAAAAACCCTATGGCCAATCATGTAGCAGGAACATACTATACTACAGTGAAAAATTATAAACTAGCAATGGAGTACCTATCTAAGGCATGCACATATGGAGTGTTTGGTGCTGAAATAGACTTGATTGTACTGAAGTCGCAGATTAATGAAACATATGTTCCTGTTGCTGATATTGAAAGGTTACTGGAAGTATATAAAGAGAAACCACATCAGGAGTCTACGTTGTGTTTATTGGGAGCATATTATCATTTTTCTGAGAATAACTTTAAGAAAGCATTCACTTACTGGTCTCAAGTTATTGAATTGGATATTAACTCTGAAAAATTGAAGGTATTGTATGATAAATATTTTTCTGTTGGTTAATTCTTTGACCCTAGTGAATAAGTTGATAATTTGTGAAACTAAAATTTATGTGAGAGCATAATATCTTGCTATTTTGTGATTATTTGAATCTTCAAGAGCAAATATACTGACAACTTACATTGTTAAGATTAAAGATTTTATGACAATTACATTATGTTCGTAAATACTAAAAATTTTCACATTTCTCAGCAATGAGAAGGAATTTAACCTCTCTTAATTATATATAAATGTAGAGAATGATTTGAAGAATTTAGAAATACATTTATCTGGTTTTCAGTAGAAAGTTGTCAGCCTGTTTACCACAGTGAGGGCCTGTTTCACTGGTGTCTAATAAAGTGTCTGATAGTCTATCCAGAAGTTATCTTTCTGATATGTTGAAAATTTGTGTTTTGAGAGTGCCAGATAAATCTACCCAGTGGTTAAAGTGTCTGGTAAATTATCTGGAGGTTCGAGAGGCTGTTAAATCTTTATCTGGTAGATAACTCCCAAATAACAGAATTTGTGTGTGAACTTGCTGTGATTTTCAAGGAATATCAGTGGTATTTCTGTGATGGACAACGTAATAGAGATGATGGACGACAAATACTTTGATGATTTAGAGTGTCCGACCAGACGACATGTCGGCCAGAATATTTTGAGATCCTTGACGAACAAAATTGCATATCCCGTTTTAGGTTAAGGAAGCCTACAGTTAGCAAAGTTGTCTTTGATAGAACAGAAAGTAAAAGATTAGCGAATACCGACTTATATTTCTGTAATGTCCTGACAAAGTAATGATCCTATTAAATTCATTTTATGTCAAAATATTAAAACGTATACTAACAATCAATGATTTTTTTTCCCGCAAAAGCAATCTTGATTGTTGAACACACTGGTTCGATGTGTCAATTACACTCATCAACATATGTTAGCTAGGCCTAATTGACATGATCCGTCTGAAAAAAATGTCAACAAATTTTGAAGATTGTGCATAAAATAAACGAATCAATAACAGTTACGTAGAAATAAGAAATTCATTCAAAAATCATGTATAAGTGAAAAAATATATAAGTAGTAAGTAGAAACTATAAAAGTAGATTGGAGAAAACTTGCCAACTATGTTCAATTAAACAGATATTTTTACAAAAAAATAGAACTATATAAAAAAATTATTTTTATTTTAGTGAGAACATTGTCATAAATGTTTGTGAAAAGATTTGATTGTAATATGGTATTAATAACGTGTAAGAATGGATTAATACCATGTTAGAGTCAAATCTTTTCACAAACATTTATGACAGTATTCTTTCTAAAATAAAATACATTTTTTTGAAGAAAAACATTTTCATGATTGTAACAATGCAAAAAAATACTTGAATAATTATTATTGTTATTCAAGTGACAATCATATTTTTTCTCACATTTTCATCTGTTTAAACTTTCCTAAACTTCAGAGTTTTTGTACAATTTGTTTTGCTGTTAGTATTTAAAATAGATCACTCTCTTTTCATGGGGCTTCCCACTCTCCTCTCCCTAGAATTTTAATCGATGTGTTGGCCTTTGTTCCATTGAGGTGTTTAAGTCAATTTACTCTTTTATTTTCTTAATTTAATTCTTAATGTTTAGTAATTTATGAGAAATAGGCAATAGAAATTAAAGAATCCATTTTCAATGATATCCTCCATAATCATGTGAAAAATTGTAATGGATTTCCTTGCCTTATTTCAGTTATGATTTCAGAATCTATCATTTTTAGTTAGCATTATTTCCATTATAATTTTGTTAAAAAAAAAAAAAAAAACTTTAAAAAAGCATCCCCCACTGAGCTATTGAAAACCTTTTCTATACCTTACCACATGGTACCCTACCACATGGTAGCACCATTTACTTTACATTAAATAATATTTTTCCTCCGCCACGAGGGATACAAGTTTGTTTCCTCACATGTAAAATTAACTCATCTTTCTGTCTTTTTTCCCCTTTCCATTTTGAAACTACACACACAAAGTACAATGCAATATAACAAACTTTTACACTGAACTCGCACACAGCTCACGCCGAAGTAAACTGCAACACAAAATAACAACGAATGAAGTAAAAAATGCCTGACACATTATTGAAACACATTCAAATTCACGTGCACACTGTGTGTTTGACTCGAAAATGCAGCATTGCTGCTAGTGAAAGAGCAATCAGATTAATTATTAGAAAGATATCTGTCAGATATTTTAACAAGAAAGACCATGGTGAAATGTAATATAAATATCAGGCGCTTTTATCTGACGGATAAAATATCTGTCGGATTAGTATTCAGAACTTTATCAGGCACTGGTGAAACAGGCCCTGAAAAAATTAAGAAAGTGAACCTATTTATTCTTGATATCTTCTGTCAATCCAAATAGCATCCTCAGATTGTAGGTTCAAAACCAAGAAAGTATATATTTTTACCTTGTGATTAATTTATTCATTAGCATCAATTCACAGACTATTTGCAGTCATCAGAATAGCATCAGATGTTTATTGCCCAATTGGCTTTGCCCAAAATACCTAACTTAAGTCAGAATACCTTATCATAATAATTGCAATAATATTCCAATAACTACATTACTTTACAATAATTTAAATTTGCTTGGTATTACATGCATTTTCAAATCTAGGGAACCTTGCCGTTCATACCTTAAAATTTTTATTGGTTGAATGTGCATTCTATATTGACACACGTAATTGAATGACACAATGTAAGTTTTATGTATGTAACATACTATAATGTTTATATGTAATAAAAACTATATGTTGAATGCTTACAAAGAGATGGTGTACATATGAACAGTTGTTCCTGGCAGCCAGCAACAGATCAGGGGAGGGGGAGGACATGTACCAATATGTTTTGTAATTTAATGTAATTGATTGAAAATTATTACTACATATAGATGGCATCAGATTCCAAAAGTGTGTTTCCATTAAGCCTGAGCCAGTAGTATTTTAAGAATAAGTTCCATGTGGCAATAAACATGTGAGCTAAATGATCCACAAAACTTTCCAAAATAATCACTCCTGAATTCTTAAACAAAGACTACACCACTTGTGTCTGACCAAGTTTCCAGTATACTCACACCATATGGTAACCCTACTTTTACATGATCGTGGAGCTACTGGTAAGAGTTCAGAGAAGAGCTACTAAAATACTGCTGATATAGAGACATGCGGCTTACAAGGAGGGACTCCAGTTACTTAATATCCATTCATTATTTGACGAGAATACTGTAGACATGGGGGAACAGCACATTGAAAGCTTTTGCTTCCCTTTTTCTTCTTTTTCCTTTCTTTCTCTTTCTCTTGAAAGTGTAAGGTGCTACATCAGTTAAAAAAGTATGGCACCACATAATTATGTTAAATGTTATGGGTCCATATTAACTTCATTGTATTTATGAATAACTGCGAAATAGTAGAGCTATTAATTATTACTTTCTCACACTTCGTAAGAAGAGAAAGTATTGTAATCATGGGCTGGAATGTGAATGTTTGGCACAAAAACTCTTTATTACCTGACCTTTTTAACGAAAAAGTGGATAAATCTTGCTCCTGTATATAGTAAATTACTTCCTCTATCACATTGAATAGTCATATTACATGCTTTGTGGCCCTTGGCACCAAAAAATCGATTGACAGCAAAACGTCTGTCCGTCCGTCTGTGCACAACGCTAGTTCATAAACCATTTAGCCGAAAGAGCATTTTTAACTACTAAACTGAAGATAGAGATTTTTGTCTCAGACAAAGTCTATTGTACAGAATTAGCTCTTCAAAAAAGGTTATGTACATTTATTTTAGAAAACAGTAGTTTTTGCGTATTTTGTGATTGAAATTTTCAACAAAAAATTCTCAAACGTTCCTTATAATATCACTAACATCATTGATAAAAATTAAAAACAATGGGAAACCCAGGTGGGAACATTGGGGTACTCAAGATAACACATCTGTGGGTTCAGAAGTAGCATTTCTAACAGACACATACTGTTCAGGACCCAACAAATAATGTCTCAACCATTGAAGTAGAGATCCAGAAGTTCCAACAAATTGCAACTTGCAGAGAAGACTGAAATAATTCACTGAATCAAAGGCCTTACATAAGGTATTACAAATTCTATTGACTTGAAAATTATCCTCCGTTCCATTAAGTATATATTGAGAGAAATACATGAGATTAGCCTCAATATTCCTTCCACTAATAAAACCAAACCGTCTCTCTGACAGAAGTGGACAGATCAAGTAATTCAATTTATCAACAATTATTAATTCTTGATAATTGATTGATATCATTGACAGAGAAATCAAACCTTACTCGTGATTTAACTGCGACTGATGTGATTTGGCTACCCAGTGGCCCCTAGAGGGTGCTGGGTGCGTAATAAAGGAGCATCACTCCTACAGAAATAAACTGAGAAATACTCCACGGTGCGCTCAACACTCCTAAGGGCAAGGAGATGCATCTATATATAAGCTACAATAAATAAATAATTATTTCAACATACTACATTGGCTAACTTGTGTATTAGATATTCTATTTTACCACGTAAATATATTAAAATGTAATATATTGCAATCGCATGTAAAGGTCTTCCTGAAAAGCATAGTTTTTATGTTGTTATGGAATCAATTATTTGTGCAAGATGAAGCCCAAATTTTACCAGTTGGGGTTGCCATCATGAGTGATATTTTAAAAGTACTCTATAAAACGAAAAGACAATATTTTTGGGCCCACGGGTAACGGGTAGAAATGAAATAATAAAGAAGGAAAGAAAAGAAAAGAGAGAGAAAGAAAAGAATTAGTTACAAAATTATCAAATGCTCATTTTTGTAAGTAAAAATGTAACTATTTACATATGAATCCCCACTCATGTGGTTCCTTGTAAATTATGTTATAAATGGATAATATTATCAATTCTATTAGGTAAAATTCATGAATAATGAACCTTTAAAAACTAGTGTGTTCAAATTTATTATCATATTGCATAATGCAAATATGTACACAACTATGTATTTTTAAAATCTTTTTTTTCATTTTCAGGTTTATTATGATGCCATTGCCCGTTGTCCCTGGAATATCAACAAAATTATTGTTACGGAAATTATGAAATTGTTGAATGCTGGAGATGTCAGTGAATCTGAGACAACATTGTTTGAGCAAACAATAACAAAGTACATTAGGCATCATCCTGGATTAATAGTTTCAGCAACAGATATAGATGTTTCCCTGTATAAAACTAAAGCATTTGAATATAAATCTTGGAAAAATCATTCTATTGATAAAAAGTTCTTTTCAGGACATTCGTTTAAAAGTAATGATCCTCTAGGTGGTAGGGGCAAGAAAAATGCTTCTTCCAGCAATGAGTCTTCATTCTTTAGAGTTTCTGGCCAGGGACAGTTCCATAGTGGTCCATCTGCTCTCTCGGATGATAGCAAAGCCAGTGGCAGCCGCAATGCTAGAGGCAGGGAAAGGGATGTCAAAGGAAGCAGGGGTAGAGGGTGGGGCAGAGATCAGGGCAGATGGGGGGGTGCAGGGGGTTCAGATGACAGAGACAGAGGTGTGGAGACTGAAAGGAGAAAGGGTGGAAAGGCTGGTGAACTTTCCTGGGGGACAGAGGAGCAGCCCAAGTCAGGGACTCATAAAAGTAATACTGGTGCTGTGAAAAAGAACTTTTATCATGGAGCAAAGTCTACCACTGGCAGCTGGAGAACCGGTTCTAATTAGAATATTTTTATTCACCTGCGGGACATATGAATTGGTGTAATCAGAAATTTGGGGGGAATATGATCTTGTATGGTTCTAAGAAATGTGTGAATGACAATCTTTATTTTTATTGTTTGTGGTATCCTAATAGTTATTAACTATTCAAAATATCTGCTCTTAGACGTCGCTGGCATTGATATCCAAATTCCTTAAATATGCTCCATAATTCACAGAGAATGTTCTTATGAAAACATAATAGAGATTATTGTTTTTAAAAATGAAGTTCTAGAAATCATTTATTATATTGTTTTGTGTCACCAATGAAATATATTTTGTATATTGATCAAAATAAAGAAATCAAAGGAAACAACAACAAAAATTATTTCAAGAAATTATTGCCTTAGTAATGTGATGTCCCCTCCTATGTGAATGCTGTCTAAGGAACGTAATTCACGTAGGAGAGGTTGCCTCTTGAGAAATGATCAGAGTGACCGGAAGGGAAAGGGGGCTATGGTTGGAGAAGAAAGTCATGAAATAGTTATTAATCAAAGATTAATACTTTAATTATCACTGCTGTTGCATATGGAAACACCAGGAATGATAGTAGTGAGATGAGAAAGAGGGGGAGAGAGAGAGAAGGAAGCGCAATGGTGCGATGACAAGGATGACGAGTGCCCTCATGTCAGCCGTTTTCTCCTTACCATTGCCTCCAGCTCTTCGGCGGGCATCTGGTTGCTGCTACTAGCCATGTCATTGTCTTCCTTGTGGTGTCTGTCTCACGGCGTTAATGCACTACAGGTAAAAGACAGTGTCTCGGTGCTTTGGGAGGTCCCTTTAAATACCCGGTGCTTATTGAGGGAATCTCCCCGGGAACGTCATTGAGAAAGGCAGATGTCCAAGCGGTTGTCAACATGTTTTGGAGTTTCTCTGCTTTTTCTATTTCGCCACATAGCAATGGAATATTTGTAGAATGTATAATAAATAAATAAATATATATATATATATATTATATATATATATATATATGTATATATATGATATATTATATATATATGTATATATATATATATGTTATATAATATATATGTATATATATATATATGTATATATATATAATATGTATATATATATGTATATATATATATATATATATTATATATATATATATATATATATATGTATATATATATATATATAATATATATATATATATATATATATAATATATATATATATTCATAACATAACATTATATAGTTTAAGTAGGCTCATTACAGTAAAGTTCTATTAAATATTCCTAATTGTTAGTATTAAATATATAATTCGTACTTTTCATTTATGCATATTTGTGGGTGATGCTTTTTTATTATTATTATTATTATTTATATTATGCATAACTAAAATGTGTCAGTTTATGAAGGTAGCCCCTACTTCCTAATTGCATTTAAGAAATATTTTTAAGTTGATATGTTGTAGTGAATGTATATCTTTTCAAGTTTTCTGTGGAGTTAAATTTATGACTTGCTTCAGTGAATCTACCAACTTTGCAAGAGATGGCTTTGATGTGACTTATTTTAAACTTGCAAAGTCATCAACAACTGTTATGAATCCTCATCAGAATTGTTGAGTGATACTCTGTAGCAACAGATATTGGTAAGTCGATGCCATTCAATAATTCCAGTCGAAACTAAATAATAACATTACATTTGAGATCATAGTATAGTTTCAGGAAACAATTATACAGTTTTCAGGGGACTGAAGGGAAAAATGTTTAAGTGAGAAAAAGCATCACTGAAATTGAATATTATGAGCAAAATAGAAACTCAATAATTTTACGTTACTGTTTTTTTACAAAAGAAGTTACCAAAAAAAGAAGAATTCAATACGCAGTTTAAAAAATTAATAATGAAAAAATCTGTTTTCTTGATGTGTTTAACATAATGATTCACCTTAGGGTGCTGTAGTGCCCAAAACATATTCCATCATTAGGTGTTAGTCGTAAAAACTATATAAATTTGTCTCTGAAGTCTTAAAACTAGCTATAAATTTATGTATTACGTTTTTATTTAACCGTTATACTTAAATTTCATTGTGAGATTGAAATTTTTAAATGTCAAAAATATGGGTGATTTGGAAATTAAATTTATTCTGTCTCCATTTCCCTTCCCACAACAACTCTGAAATTTTTTGAAGCCCCGCTGCTGGAAGTGTCCTGGCAACCGCCTTCGCATTCTAACCCTTGCGGACTTGCGCTCTCTCTTGGCCCCTCAGCTACGCCGAGTCGAGCTTGTATATTGCGAACGGGTGCGCTCGTCGACTCGAGGGGCAGGTGGCCCCGCGCCTCCTCGTCATCCTTGCAGGAACCTTTGAAAGTTTTACGGTCGTAAAGGGATTTTTATTATGAATGTAAAAGTATGGAAAACGTATAAACGTAAAACCCATATGGAAAATAATTTAGCATGGGAATTTTAGGAATTTATCCGGGACTTGCCAAAAAAACCGTATTAGTGCGAAATGTATAAATGGAGGTGCACTGTATTTAGAAGTACTGGGCTATCTATTTGAGCCATGAATTAATTTGTATAAAACATAACACCATTATAAATTGTCAAAGAATTAAGGTGATGAATTTCAGATTCTAAAGAATTTATGTTATTGTGATTAAGGAAACCTCAGGAAGACTCCCTCTTGAAATTTTAAAAAACTTGTGCTGCTTTCTTTTAATTTTTACACTATTAATGTGTACATTAAAGTTTAATGGCCAAACAGTAGAGGTAATCAAGAAATGTGATCTAAGGAAAACTTTAAAATTTTTCAATGCTAGAGTATTATGTATTTCATTACAAGTTCTCAATTGAACCAAGCTGTTGTAATGATTTTTTGATAATCATATCAATAAGGATATTAAATTTCATTTTGTTGTCATATATTTCACCAAGACCTCATAATGTTCCAGATTAACATCAGTGATTATGTACTGTCAAAAGTCTTACTTCTAGAAAATTTATTTTATTTCAAATATACAGACTCAAAGTTTATTATTTAACACACACACACAAATGTGCACACACACACACACACACTCACACACTCTTTCACACACACACTCACAAAACACCATTATATTTATCGGGTAATTTTCTGTACATGTTTGTGAATACATTCTACGAACAAATGTGGTTTTGTCTTCATGACTGTAATGGAACTCTGAACTTCTAGCTATGTGGGATTGAAAAACAGCAGACCAGACTCTGGATGAGAACATCAATATTGGTCTCAATTGTCAAATAAAGGTTTTTCATAGAACAATTGATATGAGACCTAAGAAGGATCTAGTAAAACCAAGTATTTGGTTCGCCTTATTAACAGTGTAGTCGTTATAACTCGCTCTAAAGCTACCAAGTTAATTGAATGAACAAAATCAATTACAAGATTTGATTGTAAAAACATGATAAGTTTGCTTGTGTTGCTTATTAAATGTTATATATTAATATTTATTGATTTTAAGTTCACGAGATTGGTCAACATGGATAAAGACACAATTAGTTATGCCAACATTTCGAAATGTTTAATTTCTTCATCAGGGCTAGAGTACAAAATCAAATCAACAATGCATGAGAACAAACTAATTTAAAAAAAAATAATTCATTAATTAATTAACATTACGCCAAAACATTTATAAACTAAGATAAATAAAACACCAAAATATAGAATGTACACACCTAACTATATTTTTTTTGCGAGGGTAATCATCAAATACAAACTTTTGGAAATTCGATATTTGAGAGGGTTTTTGTCAATTATTTATTGTTTTGGGGTGAAAACACAAACTTAATAACTAATGTGTGGTATAAGAGCACATACTTGTTTATAGGTACAATTCATACATATGTATATTGAAAATACGGAAAGAGACCCTCATTACTCCCGCTTCCCAAACAGTTGTTACATCTAAATATAGTGCCTAATTAATTTTTTGCGATTCTTTCATTTCACTTTAATAGGTGCTTTCGTGTTAAAAGAGAAAAAAACATTTCATGAAAAAGCAATACTTGGAAAACATAGAAAGTTATGTTTAGAACATCATGTAAAATCAAATGAATTCTTTATTTCATTATTAAACATCTTAAAATATCTCATAATTTCCACCTCTACTTTCAGAAATATAAGTCGTTAATAAGTCAGGCTAAAATCATGAAACGCCACCAGGATATTTTAAACTTAAATAAGAAAGATGAAGAAAAATAAAACATTGTGGAATTGGTAAAAAAATACGATTACATTGAGTAGAAATGGCGTAGAGAATGTTTTAAAAGATATCCGGCAAGTGGCCTGTCTCATCAATATTTTTTCGAGAATTGCGGTTGATCTCACGAAAGATCTGAATCCAGGAAATTCAACAACTATTTCCAGAAATTTTTGATGGTATGCTTGTTTTGCCGAAACTTCTTTCTACGTAATTCTCGAGATAATCAATAAGTAATAAAATAAATATTCCTCGCATATAGATGAATTCCCGGCATCACTGAAGGGACATCCATACGCTACAGAGGGGGAGGGGGTTTAAGGCATCGTTACGTAGTGGCAGGGGGGTGTTCGATTAATGTTACGTAGCACTTTTTCTTTAAACATTAGTTGAAATACTTACCTTGTCTTATTCCAAAACATTAATATATTATCCAATTGAGTTATCTTAACACATAAACAATTTGAAGTTATTAGAAGTTGCTACAATAAATTGATACATTTTTTCATCAATGTTTTATTGAATCTGTAAGCTTACAAAGAAAATATTCCAAACTGATCGATTTATTTTGTAGAATACAATTAAATTGGGACAGTAGATTCTCGCCCATGCGCCATCCAAAACGGCGGCGTGTGCGACTTGTGAACAGAAATTTTCTATCCTGTGCCTCCTACCTTCAAAATGTGCCCCCATCTTATTGTTAGGCACAGTCAGCATCGCCAATAATTCCGAATTTAATTATCATAAATTGTAATACACGAATCCACTAAAATTAATATATTTTTTTTACTGGACTATAATAATTTATTTTCATTTCTTACATTTATAATGAGGGTCACAAGCAACCCGCACGACACGACGGTATGGTGGGAGGTCGATGGAAATTATTTTGGGGGAGTTCAACCGCGCGTTACGGGGAGAGAGTGGTTATTCAAAATACTCCAAATTTGCGTTACGTAATTTATAATCCACCCCTCACTTGTTTCGCGAAGAATACAGCCAGTGGTGTGTCACATCCCCAAATTTTTCAGTCCTTTTAAAACTTTTGTTCAGACTGTTTTTCCACTCAAGTACATCTCTTCCGTTTGAACCTTTTGTTTTTCCCCGTGCGCATTTCGGTAGGTGGATGTGACAGGCCGAGAAACATCCCTTCGACGGCTTCGCTTCGTTACCAAGGCCAT